CGAATTAGGGGTGAGACTGGGATCTCCATAATTGTCAGAAGTTGTTATATTCTGAATTGAGTAATGGTTGTCGCAACCAAAGGGAAGTGGATAAGTGAAGAATGCATGAGTTGCGGGTCATGAGTCATGAGTTGAGTGGTTCGTTGGGACGAGTGGTTCCAATTCTGTGCCGGATCAGACTCTCGAGTTGAGTTCGATTCTAGTGGTGTATCGAGTAGACATAATGAGATTCCAGATTCAGAGATGCATTTTATTTGGAAGGGGGTATTGTTCCATATGGTGTCTTGGACCGGAGTGGGTCAATTCGTTGGTATGAGGAAACCGTGAAACGCATGGAACTAATGAGTAGTGGACGACGGAGATCGAGAGTGAGTCGAATTCAGTATTCGCTTGAGGTACAGCGAACTCCGTGACTGGTGTGTGTCACACTGGGCCGAGATAGTTGTTGTGGAAAGGAAGTAGACGAGACGTTTTGGGACATGCAAGGGGTAACCTTTAGAGGTTCAGCTGCTGGGTCGGGTGAGGACCCGGTGCTCAGTATTGAGAGGGGAGCTGAGGTTTATGTTTGTTAGATGTCAGAGGACGCCTCAGAACAAGCATGATCATTATCTGTGTTTGAGGTCAGGGTGTTGAGGATTCGTTGTTCAGATGGATTTGATTGCAGTACAGTGGATGAGTCCCTGATGTGATGTGATCCTTCCATTCCTTGGTATATGATCTGGGTTGTTTATCATGTCTGGGACGAGTGATCGGTAGCCAGTTTTGGGCATGAACTTGTTTTTATCAGTCCCCACCAGAGAATCAGAGGTGCAGTGAGCTATCGGGGTTTATTATTCGAGGAGCGAATAACGAGGTGACACCTGAAGAGAGCGGTCTGGCTGTGTATCGAGATACTAGAGTTTCCAGACTCTTGAGAGTCAGGAGGGGTAGCGTAGTGGCAGATGGGTCTGTCCTTTTCCAAGGAGGAGTTCCTGTTAGGATTCAGGTGTCCAGAGAGGAAGATAGTTGTGTGGTATGAGACCCTTTCGCTGGTGCTGTTTGGTTATTAGATTAGATCTATATGTTGTGGATGAGCGATTTCGAGGGCGAAATCTAATTCAAGTGGGGGAGAATTTTAACATCCGGATTTTCAGGGACATTATTGTGTATGTTAATCTTGAGCCTTAAGGAGGGACTCGACGAGTTGAGGGACCGACTCGCCGAGTCGAGTCGAGATTGCCGCGTGGATTTAATGAATGGACTCGACGAGTCAGAGGAGGGACTCGCCGAGTAGGTGCTGGGCAGAGAAACCTTAATTTTCCGGGTTTGGGACCTATTTAAAGGCATTTATAGCTTCATTTGTGGCCACTACTCCCCTGAGAAAACCCTAGAGAGCAGAGAGAAGCTTGTAGTGCAAGAGGAAGTCTAATCCATCATTCTTGAGTGTGTTTTAGCAAAGGGAAGGAAGGATTTCGAGCTAGGCTGACTTGAGGGACTCAAATCTTCCATCATTTCGTTCAGAGCTGCTGTGAGAGGTAAGGATTCATGTCCATCTTCGTTTGAGTAATAGATTTCATGAATCTAGGGTTTCTTCTCTTCTCTTTTGGTAGAGATCTAGTGTGTATGATGTTCCCTTGTGACAATATTATCAGATCTGGACCTTGAGAGGCCCAGAGAGTCCCTATCCTTCAGCTTTATGCAGTCCCTATGAGTTTTGGGGCCTAGGTTATCATATTAAAGGATATTTTGGCATATAGAGATGATAGTGTGATGCATGGGCCTAAAGTTCGAACCTTTACGTAATTATCATGCTTGGGAAGGTCAGATCTATAGGATAGGGAAGCAGATCTGACCTCAGAAGGTCATTTGAGTGAGAGCATGGAAGAAACTCGCCGAGTTCACAATGGGACTCGACGAGTCGAGTCGGGTTGCCCCGCGATTCGTTTCCAGTGGTAACCGGTCGAGTGGAAGGTTCACTCGATGAGTCGAGTGAGGCATACGAGGAGTCAGAGGACACGCATGAACTCGCCGAGTCACACGAGTGCACTCGGCGAGTCTGGTCAAGTTTGACCGTTGACTTTCGTTGACTTTTAGGGTTTTGATCAACATTTGGACTTTTGGGCCAGGGAGGGGTAAAGTGGTCTTTTACCCTTCTGTGGGATTTTAGAAGGGGATTTAATCTAGCCTTTGGGAGCCATTATTTATTGGAGGATATTGTTTATGTGATTAGGCGGGGGCTAGATCAGTATATTCGTGTGCGAGATTATCCGAGTTACCCGAGGTGAGTCTTCTCACTATACATTACATAGAGTGGTATCTATGTGCAGACCGGAGGGTCTTATGTGTTATGTGTATGTTTGAGTTTATGTGTATTGTGATATATGTATGCTATGTGTTATATAGACCGGACCGGAGGGTCCTACGATTTAGATCGGATCAGAGGATCCAACGATTTAGACCGGACCAGAGGGTCCAACGAGCTAGACCGGACTGGAGGGTCCAACGAGCTACGGGACTGGAGGGTCCCGCTGAGACACATTGACCGGAGGGTCATACCGAGTTATAGCCTCGAGTGGCTTATGTGTTGTATGTGGTATTTTGGGGAACTCACTAAGCTTTGTGCTTACCGTGTTATGTGTTATGTGTTTCAGGTTCTTATCAGGAATCGCGGGAAGGCGCCGACATGATTTGTACACACTGGTGGAAGATTATGTGTTGAGATTATGGGGAGATGTTTTGTGATGACATTGATACACGAGATTTGAAAATATTATATGAGTTTTATTATGTTTGAAAAATGAAAAATTGTTTAAAAATTTACGTCGTTACAACTGGTGGGCCGACATTGTGGCCGTAGACCCACCGCTACTGGAAGGTAACTCACCTCACACTGCTGAAGTCCCGTAGACACAACCCCACACTGCTGAAGTCCCGCAGACTCAACCCCAGCTGCTGGATGACAGATTCTCGAACTGTCAACACCAAAATAACACCCAATTAATAATTGGGTTCCACCACATAATCATAAGTACATACTTTGCATAATTACTACATTACCCCAAGCTTGGCTTTATGCAAGCCCAGGACCTAATCCATAGGCCCAAAGTCAACTAGGAAATCAAAGTCCAACACATGGCCCAATTTTCCAAATTGGGCCTAGGCCTATACATGGTCTTATCCTAAGGCCCAACATCATATAACCATTAAGGCCCAAACTAAGGCCCATCTATGGCCCAATTTTCCAAATTGGGCCCAAACCCCTTACATGGGCCTTACCCTAGGCCCCTTAAATTATTCTAGTCCAATTGCTTGACTTTGGATGGTCCATTAGTAACCCAATCATCAAGGCCCAATAAAGAGGCCCAACAATAAACCCAAGTGAAATTAGGGTTTCACATAAAATGATGATTAGGGTTAAGTGTCTCTCCCTTAACCCATTAAGGACTTAATCCATTCAGTCCATCATTCTTCTAAATAAGTCATATGGTGTGATTGGGCTTAATCACACAATTCCATTCCAATGGCCCAAAAGTGGGTCCCAATAAGTCCAAGCCCATAAATCCAATATTAGGGTTTTCGAAATCCTAATTAGGGTTTCTAACCCCATCTTAGCCCAATAGGCCCAATTGATATGTCTTTTGATCAATTAAGGTTCATTAGACTCATTAAGGTTTCACTAGGCCCATTAGTCATCTGTTTGGGCTTTTAGGTCCATTAAGCTTCATTGGGCCCATTAAGCCTCATTGGGCCCATTAGGGTTTCTTAGTCCCTTGTCCAAACATCCAAACGAGTCAAAACACCATCAAAGCACACCGCCACCCGACACGGCGGCCGGTGGCGGCAGCCACCACCCTAAGGTGGTGGTTTTCAATTTCTTTTCATTATTTTTCTTTCCGGTTACATTTTACAATGCTAAAACCCCAAATAATCACACACACACACACACACACTAATACAACACACGTACACAACAACCTAATGGTGGTTGGCGGTGGCGAACGGCGGCAGCCACTATGGCTGGCGGCCATGGTGGTTTCTGGACAACTTCGGCTAACAGAAAAGGTCCATACACCCGATCACATACTCATGGCGGCGACAACAGTGGACTTGGGATGGCAGCATCGTTGATTTGCAAAGACAGCTACCACCTCATGGTGGTGGCAAGCTTTCTTGAGTCCCCGTCAGAAACACGCGCCTACAGAACACCCACTCGTCGGGGGCTTGACCCTGAACACACTCCGATCTCCACTATTCTCATGGCGGCACAAGGCATTCGGGAAAGAAACCAGTCGCAACAGTGGCACTCGCGACGTCAAACACCTCGAGGAGTACAGATAAGCGAGACGAGGTGGTCTAACCGTAAGGTTATGGCTGTTCGCGACCTGCCCCTCTTCGTTCATAGCCACACTCCGATCTCGGGGGTTTCTCCGACCATTTCCGACTGAACTACGCTCCTTCGCTGGTCTCCTTCTCCAGCAACAACAGGAACGGCGACAGCAGCGCTTGACTCGATGGGTTGCATCCTCCACACGGTGGTGCACGACGACTATGGGAGAGATGGTGACGGCGGGAGGAGAAGGAGGGTGGAGAGGGTGGTGGCTGAACATTGGTTAGGTTTAGGGTTACGGAGAGCAATACAACAGTTAAATACCGTGTCTCGTCAAACTTCCCTCCATAATGGCAGGAATGGCCCCTCTCCATAACATTTCCTTTCAAAATGAATCCGATAATTATCATTTAAACCCTTAGCATTAAAATCCTTTACAACTTAGGTACAAAATTTACCAAACAACCCCCAATATCTTAATTATGACATATTCAGCCCCTTTCACCTCATTTCCTTTAAATTAAATCCAAATAATTACCACGGAGCCCCTGTCCTCATAAATATTTATAAACTGAGTCCGGAACTCACACTTTTAACCCCCAATCTCTTAAAGTCTGACAGTTAGCTCCTCAAGATCAACCTTTGAAATATAATTATTTATTTTAGGGCTACTATTCGTTCATTTATTTATTTATTAAATAAACAGGGTGTTACACATAGCTTCAACCCACTCTCTTTTATGCTCATATTCCATAGCTTCTGCATAACAATCAGGTTCTCCCCCATCAGTGACTAAAACATACTCATCAGCAGAATAACGGGTGGAAGGATGACGATCTCTCGTAGACCGCCTAAGTGGGACAAATGGTGGTATATCAGGTACTGGCAACTCTGGATGAAGATCCTCATCCAACTCCGACTGCTCTGGAACATCATTGTCATCAGTACCATGTTGTTCATCATTCTGAACATCTTCATTAATTGGCTCAAAATGTTGAGGGGGAACCGGATCCAAATCAACACGATCATCATTAGATTCAGGAACTATCTTTGTCTTCTCAATATCTTTTAAACTCTGATCTTCAACAAATACAACATCACGACTCCTTACGAGTTTCTTGAGAACTGGATCATATAACCTGTAACCGAATTCATCTTGACCATAACCAAGGAATATACACGGCTTGGTCTTCACTTCAAGCTTTGATCTTTCATCTTTGGGAATATGCACAAAAGCCTTGCATCCAAAGACCGTAAATGACGATACGAAACATCTTTTCCACTCCAAACCCTATCAGGAACATCAAAAGACAAAGGAACACAAGGAGTAAGATTAATAACATGTACCGATGTATTCAAAGCTTCTCCCCAAAAAGAATCAGGTAATCCTGCATGTGAAAGCAAACATCTAACTCTTTCACCCAATGTTTTATTCATCCGTTCTGCTAAACCGTTCAACTGTGGTGTCTTTGGAGGAGTCTTTTGGTGCTGAATACCTTGCTCTCTACAATAAACATCAAAAGGACCAATGTATTCACCGCTATTATCTGTCCGAACACACTTCAATTTCTTCCCAGTTTGTCTCTCAACCAAGGCATGAAACTGCTTAAACACATCCAATACTTGATCTTTAGTCTTCAAAGTATAAACCCATACCTTCCTTGAATAGTCATCGATGAATGTGACAAAATACAAGCAACCCCCAAGTGTCATAGTCTTCATGGGACCACATACATCGGAATGTACCAGATCAAATATTCTCCTTCCTGGAAGGAGGATGGCTCTTAAAGGAAACTCTATTTTGCTTACCTGCCAGACAATGAGAACATCTCTTCAAATTCACATCATGCATACCTATCAACACATTTTTCTTCAACAACAAAGACATCCCCTTTTCACTCATGTGACCAAGTCTCTTATGCCACAAATCGGTCATGTCACAATATATCGATGCATGGATTGATTCTTTGGAGATCTTCGGATGTGTCATGTATAACTTTGAGCTTCTTTCACCTATTTCCACAATCAAAGAACCACGAGTGAGTTTCCAAATGCCAACACCAAAGGTACTATGGTAACCGTCATCATCAAGTAAGCCAGTAGAGATCAAACTAAGTCTAATATCTGGAACATGTTTTACATTGTGTAAAACCAACTCCATCCCAGTCTCAAACTTTAAACAAATATCTCCGACACCAACAATCTTTGATAACCCATTATTACCCATTTTAACATTCCCAAAATCACCAGGAGTGTAAGATGTGTAAAAATCCCTTTGTGATGTCACATGACAAGTAGCACCACTGTTAACAACCCAACTCGAATCATCATGTGCAAGATTAACCATATCATAATCACAACAAATAAAGAACTTTTCGGTAGTAGTGTTAACTTCAGCAGTATCATTACCACCATCATCTTTCTTGTGGTTGTTCTTTTGATTGTTGTAATTTGCCTTCTTGTTCTCCCTTTTCAATTGTCTGCAGAATCGTATTGTGTACCCTTTTCTACCACAATGATTGCACTCATAGTCAACAAACTTTCCTTTAGATTTACTGCGATGCTTCCCTTTGTTATTCAGACCTCTACTTTGACTTCTCCCCCTGCTTTCTGTGACCAAGACATCTGAATGTGAAGAGGAACCTTGTGACTTTCTTCTTATCTCTTCATTTAAAACACCGCCTTTAGCCAATTCCATGGTGATAATACCATCTGGTGCAGAGTTGGACAAGGATGTCCTAAAAATTTCCCAAGAATCCGGTAAAGTGCCAAGGAGCCATAAACCTTGTAACTCATCTTCAAACTTGATACCCATTCCTGCAAGCAGATTAATAATTCCCTGGAAAGAATTCAAATGATCACTAATAGGATTTCCATCATGGTACTTCAAGCCAATCAACTGCTTAATCAAGAACAATTTATTGTTCCCGGTCTTCCGAGCATACAACTTCTCAAGTTTGTTCCACAAAGTACGGGCATGAGTCTCCACGCTAATATGGTTCAAAACATTATCATCAACCCATTGCCGAATATACCCACAAACCTTTCTATGCAAAATATTCCACTCTGCATCTGTTTTATCTTCACGTTTTTCAGTATTAAACACAGGCATATAATAATCCTTCACATAAAGAAGGTCTTCCATCTTGCCTCTCCAAACTTGATAATTAGAACCATTCAAGTTCACAATCCTATTTGTATTAGCTTCCATTGTTCAAACAAGTAAGCTAATAACAAGAACCAGACTCTGATACCAATCTGATGGGAAAAACGCAGCCACAACGGTAAATAACAATGTGGAATAATACTTCATTTAACTAAACTATTCCCGTCTTGAATGAACCTTTTAGGATGCAAAAAAATAGGATAATTTCACTTGCAACAAATCAGACCCAATGCAAGTTATATGATCAATATAATCAACCCAAAACAATAAGTAATCAACAAATAAAGACACTAGAATTTTAGCGTGGAAACCTCAAGAAAAGGAGAGTAAAACCACGGGACTACTAGAGCCGCTTCAAATCCACTATCACCAATATTAGAGCAATACAAAGTCTTCTCTAGATGTACTAGAGGCATACAATAATCATCATATACTTGGAACTAAATCACATCAATCATACATAATCAAATAAGCAAAGACAAAGAAGAATATCACCAAAAATGTTCCTCATTTCCAGCAGCAAACATAAGCAACGATTCCCGAGTCTCTGGAGCTGATATTGACAATTCAGCCGTTGGATCTGAAGGCCTCGATGTTGGGAAGCTTTTGTCCAAAAATGAGAGAAGCTGACCGTTGGATCTCCGGGAAATTACCAAACAATGCAGGTGTATCTTCAAAAACGGGAATTGAGAAAAACCCTATTTTGCTTCTTACTCTTTCTAACTCTCTTGGTGGCTGAAAAGTATTGTGTGTTGTTGAAATTAGGGCATGTAACACATATATATACATGGGCTAAAGAAGTGGGCTTTCCTCATGGGCTAAAAAACCCAAGAGAAAACCCAACATGTGGGACTGGTGAGGTTGGCTAATGGCCAGATGAAGTGGTAGTGTAGAGTAACGTTATGATGGTGAGTTAGTTGGGGTGAAGATATTTATGTAGCCGAAAATATTGTAATACTCATAAGCCGTATTTGTAGAAGAGTGGTGGAGTTTCCTAACGGGTCACCATGAAGGGAAGGGAGGGTATGGGGTAAGAATCTTTTAATTAAAAAGTTAAGAAAATAATATCTATTCTAATAAATGAATATGTTTATTCTCCTATTGACAAGTGTCACTATATTAGAACTCCTCATTAATATTATATGTCACCTATCATGCCATTTGTCAACATATTAATTATACATTTCAAATTTTAAATTTTAAATTTCTCATCCTAATTACATTAAATTTTAAAATTTTCCGCTTTTAATTATATTAAATTAATAACATTAGATTAAAAAATAAAATTAAATTAATACAAATTATAAGGTAATATAACTTCACGTATTTATTTAAATCAATGATTATAATTTTATATAACTAAAAAAATATCTCTTAATTAATAATTTATTTAAAATAATTTTTTTTAACGGCAAATCTAACCTACTTCTAAACTAGACCTTAAATCCACATTTGTGCATGACAGGACTTGAACCCTCAACCTCAAGGAGGGAGGGCAACACCAGATACCGCTGGACTAGAAGCCTTTGGTATTTCTTTAAAATAATTGATTAATAATTTTGGTTTTTTAATATGAAAATTTAATTAATTTTATAGTCGTGGTTCTCACGAGTTATAAACTAGTAAATACATAAATACAAGAGAAATTTGTCATTTAACTCTCACCTAGCGTAACATGTAGACGGTAATTAGTAATTACCCATGCAACATTTCGATACCGCAAGAACCAACCAATCACAAAAAATCGAAAGTCTAATCAAAATAAACCAAAATTGTAATTTACTCTTTTGGTATCATACATACTTATAAAGCTAGCATTTTTTATTGAATCTCATGCATTTGAAACCCCATTTTTTAACTTCCTTTCACCACATTCATTTGAAACTCCCATGATTTTTTAATTTCTTTACAATAATATTATAAATAAGTTAAATAATGTTCTATAAACAAGAAAGGGTGTTTTATTACAATGTCTTCATCCCACATCGATGGTGAGAGTAAACAAGAGAATGTTTCCTCTTCTATAAATAGGAAATGATGTGAAATGTTTCAAATGGACCAAACCATGAGAACTTCCTCATGCCTATCTTTGTAGGATTTTGAAGGTATTATTTGGTGAAATTGTCTATATTGGCAAGTGTCCAGTTAACTTTTAGAATTCCAAAAATGGTCTTGAACCGAATTTTTTCAAGTTTAAACCGTGTTTCAGTTAGAAAAAAAATTATGTAGTTGGGTATATTGAGTTGAACCAGAGCTGGATCAATTTGGACCGATAAAGGAATCATTTTCCTTTCACAACAAACATTTGAAACTCCCATGATTTTTCAAATTATTTCTAATAATATTATAAATAAGTTACATAATTTTATATAAATATAAAAAAACATCTACCTAAACCTAAAATTATAACTGTTTGAAAAATCACTTTGATTCAAAAGCACGAAATATATACAAACCGAGTTTCACTAGAAAAAAAAATATGTAGTTTGGTATATTTAGTTGAATTGGTCCGAGTTTGATGTATTTGGACCATAAAAGAAGCATTTTCCTTTCACTACATACATTTGAAACTCCCATGATTTTTCAAATTGTTTCCAATGATATTTTAAAAAAGTTACATAATGTTATATAAATATAAAGAAACATCTACCTAAACATAAAATTATAATTGTTCGAAAATTCGATTTGATCAAAAGCACGAAATATATACGCAGATTATATTTTATAAATGAATTCTTTTTATAATGAACTTTTGAATCTTGAAAATACATATAAACAAACTTTCTATATTAAGTACCTAACTGAATTTATGATTTTACAATTGAACAAAAAGTTATTCAATAAAAACTTACTTTATTGGATAGCAACTTACGAGATTATAGAAAAATGGAACTATTGAACAATAAAGAAAGGGTAAACAAGAGAAATGGTGTTTTACTAAATAAGTTGAATAATGTTTTATAAACAAGAAAGCGTGTTTTATTACAATGTCTTCATCCCACATCGATGGTGAGAGTAAACAAGAGAAATTTTCATCTTCTATAAATAGGAAAGGTTGTGAAATGTTTCAAAGGGACCAAACCATGAGAACTTCCTTATGCCTACCTTTTTAGGATGTTGAGGGTATTCTTTGGTGAGATTGTCTTTATTGGCAACTGTCCATTTAAGTTTTAGAATCCCGAAAATGGTTTTGAACAAGATTTTTTTAGGTTCAAATAGAGTTTTAGTTGAAAAACCGTTATGTAGTTTGGTATATTGAGTTGAATCGGTCTGAGTTTGATCAATTTGGACCGATAAAGGAAGCATTTTCCTTTCAGCACATACATTTGAAACTCCCATGATTTTTCAAATTGTTTCTAATAATATTATAAATAAGTTACCTAAACATAAAATTATAATTGTTTGAAAAATAAATTTGATTCAAAAACACAAAATATATACAAACCGGATTTCAATAGAAAAAACGTTATGTAGTTTGGTATATTAAGCTGAATCGGTCCGAGTTTGATCAATTTGGACCGATAAATGAAGCATTTTCCTTTCACCACATACATTTGAAACTCTCATGATTATTCAAATTGTTTATAATAATATTATAAGTTACATAATGTTATATAAATATAAAAAAATCTACCTAAACATAAAATTATAATTATTTGAAAAATCTACCTAACTGAATTTATGATTTTACAATTGAACAAAAAGTTATTCAATAAAAACTTACTTTCTTGGATAGCAACTTACGAGATTATAGAAAAATGGAACTATTGAACAATAAAGAAAGGGTAAACAAGAGAAATGGTGTTTTACTAAATAAGTTGAATAATGTTTTATAAACAAGAAAATGTGTTTTATTACAATGTCTTCATCCCACATCGATGGTGAGAGTAAACAAGAGAACGTTTCATCTTCTATAAATAGGAAAGGTTGTGAAATGTTTCAAAGGGACCAAACCATGAGAACTTCCTTATGCCTACCTTTTTAGGATGTTGAGGGTATTCTTTGGTGAGATTGTCTTTATTGGCAACTGTCCATTTAAGTTTTAGAATCCCGAAAATGGTTTTGAACAAGATTTTTTTAGGTTCAAATAGAGTTTTAGTTGAAAAACCGTTATGTAGTTTGGTATATTGAGTTGAATCGGTCTGAGTTTGATCAATTTGGACTGATAAAGGAAGCATTTTCCTTTCAGCACATACATTTAAACTCCCATGATTTTTCAAATTGTTTCTAATAATATTATAAATAAGTTACCTAAACATAAAATTATAATTGTTTGAAAAATAAATTTGATTCAAAAACACAAAATATATACAAACCGGATTTCAATAGAAAAAACGTTATGTAGTTTGGTATATTAAGCTGAATCGGTCCGAGTTTGATCAATTTGGACCGATAAATGAAGCATTTTCCTTTCACCACATACATTTGAAACTCTCATGATTATTCAAATTGTTTATAATAATATTATAAGTTACATAATGTTATATAAATATAAAAAAATCTACCTAAACATAAAATTATAATTATTTGAAAAATCTACCTAACTGAATTTATGATTTTACAATTGAACAAAAAGTTATTCAATAAAAACTTACTTTCTTGGATAGCAACTTACGAGATTATAGAAAAATGGAACTATTGAACAATAAAGAAAGGGTAAACAAGAGAAATGGTGTTTTACTAAATAAGTTGAATAATGTTTTATAAACAAGAAAGTGTGTTTTATTACAATGTCTTCATCCCACATCGATGGTGAGAGTAAACAAGAGAACGTTTCATCTTCTATAAATAGGAAAGGTTGTGAAATGTTTCAAAGGGACCAAACCATGAGAACTTCCTTATGCCTACCTTTTTAGGATGTTGAGGGTATTCTTTGGTGAGATTGTCTTTATTGACAACTGTCCATTTAAGTTTTAGAATCCCGAAAATGGTTTTGAACAAGATTTTTTTAGGTTCAAATAGAGTTTCAGTTGAAAAACCGTTATGTAGTTTGGTATATTGAGTTGAATCGGTCTGAGTTTGATCAATTTGGACCAATAAAGGAA